GTTGTGGTGGGGGCGGGGCTTAGCCATGGGGCGTTCTGGAACGCGGCCCTGAGCGGTGCCCCCACCCCTCTCTCCTTGGAATCACCCTGTGACGGAATTCTCACCCCAAGGTAGGATTTCTTAGGGTCTTCATACCCTTTCTGGGTGATTGTGAGTCACCCTCCAGGTCATCATGACCTAACAAATGCATGCGCCACCTGCAACTCCACACACCTGAGAGAAAATGGATGTTTACACTCGGAGGCGATAGTACACGGAGACCTCTACTTATTGCCAGAGGAAACCCTAGTGACAAATCCAGCGACCTAGAATTTCCCCAACTAACTCACATGGTTCCCAAAACAAATGTTTCTTTACATTTTAAACAAGGCAGCCCCTTTCTGCCAAGAAGGATAGCTTAGTCTATTTTCATGTGTCTGTTGTGCTGCTCAAAATTCTCACACACACAAAAAGATTATATTATGTAACCGAAACGGTAGGCAAATTTCCAGCTAACGAGTGATTTAATGTGTGCAAACCATGAACATTTTCACAATAAAAGTCTGCTCAAGATAATATATTTTGGAGAAGAACAGAGACCACTGATTTCTGTTATTTTATTCCCACATTGAGCCAATTGGAATAACTTTTGTTTACTGTCTAGCTGGGAAGCGTTGCCCTGGGGCCCACAGTTCCCACAGCCTTGGGAAAACACCTGCCTTCCTCCGCTCATTTGGAAGGACACTGTGTTAAACTTGGAGTTTATTTTTAGGAAAATATTAGTATTACTATTGTGTTACAAGAGTTCAGGGAATAATTACAACATTCATCATGTTTTGACTCTAAAGGCTTTTCCTCTTGTCAGGAGTTCTGGATTTTGTTTAAAATGATACCTAACTATATATTTCACTCACCCAAAGTAAAATCTATTACTCTAGCATTTCTCCAAAATGTTTCTTTTTTAAATAAATCGTGGTGGGGTTTTTATTTTTAGGTTCAGAATAATAGATACCACTTGTCCTAGTGGAAAGTTCAAAAACAACTCCCCTCCCATCCCCTGCCTCCCAAAGCCAACAATTGTTAGGAACTTGCTATGTGCTGGGCAATCCATAGATATCAAAGTTATAAAAATAAAAGACAAAATTCCGGTCTTCATAATCCTAGTGAAGGGTGCAGACTGTCAATAGATTATTGTGTTTAGTAAGGACCATGAAGTACTGATACATGCTACAACATGGAAGAAACTTGAAAACATGCCAGATGAATGAAATCAGTCACAGAAGCCCACATAACATGTTATTTCATTTACATGAAATGTCCAAAACTGTCAAATCTAAAGAGACAGGAAGCAGATTTGTGGTTGCCTAGGAAAATGTTTTGAGGGGAAATGGAGACTGACTATCATGGACCCAGAAGGTCTTTCTGGGGTGATGAGAATGTACTACAATTGACTGTAGTGATGGTTGTACAATTCTGAGAATAAACTAAAAACCATTGAACTGTATGCTGTAAATGGGTGAATTGTATGCTATATGAATTACACCTCAATTTGAAAAAGTAAAATTTATAGCACATTAGATGGTGGTAAGTGCTAAGGAAAATAATAAAAATATGGGGAGGGGTGAGTAGGGATGGAAGAGTTTTGGAGGGTGACTGGGGATATAATTTTTATACAGAGAGGGAGGGTAAGTGACATTTGAGTAAAGAACTAAAGGAGGTGAAGAGGAAAATCTTAGTCTTTGATAGCTGCAAGGGAAGGAAAGTTTTTTCCATCCAGCAGTCATTCCCAAAGGGCAGTTCAAATATAAGGAACACAGATAAATACGGAGTACTCCTTAATACTACTAACATTTTATTCATATTTCC